ATGGACAATAATCTAGATCGAATTTCGTTAAGATATATTGTCAAATAAAAAAGTTTTCCGTACCAGAACTTGATCAATTTTATGGCAGCTATCTGATATAGTAGTCAGATATCAGCGATAACAACCAATGAGTAGCTTCTTATGAAGAAAAGGTCGTGTGAAAAATTTCATATCGCTAGCTCAAAAACTAACTGACGCTTATACAGGTGCACGGGCGGATAGACAGACGAAGATGTCTAAATCATCTCAGCTCGTCACGCTGATCATTTATTAATACACTTTCACGTTTCCTTCTGAGTGTTATAGATGAAATTTTATTATAATTGGTTTTGTGATATTTTCGTATATAAATCTCTGTGATCCAAAAACTAATCAACCAATAAAATATTGAAGAAAAATTAGAGCAAGTTCTGTTAATGCAATTCTGCTAATGAACAGTGTTTCGCTAGATATAAATACATTTGTGTGTGTGCCAGTTTAGTTAAACATTAGTGCATAGCATTAGTAATTTTTGTTGTTTATTTATTTGTGAAAAATACCTTGAGAATTTGTTTTTACTATTTTATGAAAACTTCTTTCTGAAAGTTCAAATTGCAATGCAAACAGCGCAGGACTTTGCAAAAGTGACTTCCTACCAAAATATTTCTGCTTATATATATATAATGGTAAATAAATACTTTCGCTTACACATACGCACACAGTTAGCAGATGAGGTATTTTAAAGCTTTCAAAGTCAAAGCTAAATTGTCACTTTACTACTAAATTTAACATAACGTTTACTCACACATACACACACCTACACAAATAAAAGCAAACATAAACATACATACATTCATGAATGCACATGCACATGCATGAATGAAAGGACATCTACTCATATTAGTAAAACTAAATTCTTTGAAATTTTTGATGCAATTTTGTGTAAAACCATTTGCTTCCTTACTTATAATGCACACACACACACACCGGCATATATATTTGCATAAGTGCATATGAACTCCAGATGCTTGTTGTACTGCCTCCTTCACATGTTTCAACATTGTGTGTTGTGTATGTGTGTGTGTGGCACAGGTGGTTTCATTTCGTTGACTTCGAATTTTATGGTTCAATGTTTTGAATTTACGGTCGGAAAAATATTGCAAAGAAGAAAAGGAAAATTTGTTGCTATTGTGAAAAGGTTTATATTTTAATACTTGAAAATATTCACCCCTTAAATTTGTTGGCAGCTCCCTCCATTAGCGAAAATGAGTTGCAAGTGCTATGTGAAAGGAATTATATATGGTACAGTCGTTCGCAGACAGGGTGCCGAAGAATTAAGAGTAGTGGTAATTTTTTTAATCTGAAAATTATTTTGTTTTCCAACGCTTTGGTAAGAAAATAAGATAATAGAGAAGATTTATATGTGATTTATCATTTACGATCTATAATTTATGATTGATGGTTTATGATTTATGATTTATGATTTAGGATTTATAATTCATGACTAATGATTTAAGATTTATTGAGTATTATTTATTATTGAAGATTTATGATTTATTATTTATGATTTACGATTTACGATGTATGCTTGATGATTTATGAATTATGATTGATGATATATGATTGATGATTTAGAATTTATGATTCATGATTAAATATATATGATTTATGATTGTTTATTTATAATTTATGATTTACGATTTATGATTTATAATTTAAGATTTATGATTTATGATTTATGATTGATGATTTATGATGTATGATTTATGATGTATGATTTATGATCTATGAATTATGATTGATGATATATGATTTATGATTTATTATTGATGGTTTATGATTTATGATTTATGATTTAGGATTTATAATTCATGACTAATGATTTATGATTTATTGATTATTACTTATTATTGAAGATTTATGATTGATGATTTATGAATTATGATTTATAATTTACAATGTATGCTTGATGATTTATGAATTATGATTGATGATATATGATTGATGATTTAGAATTTATGATTCATGATTAAATATTTATGATTTATGATTGTTTATTTATAATTTATGATTTACGATTTATGATTTATAATTTACGATTTATGATTTATGATTTATGATTGATGATTTATGATGTATGATTTATGATGTATGATATATGATTTATTATTGATGGTTTATGATTTATGATTTAGGATTTATAATTCATGACTAATGATTTATGATTTATTGATTATTACTTATTGTTGAAGATTTATGATTGATGATTTATGAATTATGATTTATGATTTATAATGTATGATTGATGATTTAGGATTTCTGATTTATGATTAATGATTTATGGCTTATGATTAATGATTCATTTTAAATATAGACTAAACAGGTTCGGGATGATAGATGATTAATCAAAAAGGAAGAAATTAATATATATTTATTGACTGGAAAATTTGAAGTTAATTAATAAAATGTATGAAGTATGAATTAATTTGATTTATTATTAATTACCAAGATTGATTGTTCAACATACAGAATTGAGGCAGACTCTTTGACAACAACTTAACGAATTTAATTTAAATGCGCTGTGTGAAAGCAGTTATAAATAACTGTAAAATGATTATCGTCAAAAAAATAAATTATAGCCTTATTTGGTTAGTAATTAATTATGAGGCAATGAGGATTAATTGTCGTGACTTATTGCCATTCATCCCCATTGATTTGCAGCAGACAGTCTGGTGTTTATTTAATTGTTAACATTATTTTTAAACAAAAAGAAAGAAATGTTCGCTTAATTTTCCATTTATTTTCCGACTTTCGGTCTGCAATTCTCCTGAATTTTTTTTGATTCGCCTTTTTATATATATCATATTATTTTCAGCCACTTTTATGTAATTTATGTTAATGCATCAATGAATACCTCGTAATTACTGTTGTTTTCGTCTGATCCATTTTCATTTTTACATGGTCATCAATTTACATTCAATATGTCATTGCAAGGGTTCGGCATAGCTGTGTTTTGTTTGGCCTACAGAAATTAATTTTAGGAGATTGGGATTCGAAAAGGGAGCTATCCGATATGGTAATCAATTACAGTTAACCATTTGTCTCTTGTGTACTACTTATGAAAAGCTTAGTATTTCCAAGTCCGTGTGAGTATGATTTTTTTATGCTTAAGCGTTTAAGTGTGATTTGGGTATATGGATTCGTATGTTAATACGATTTTTCTTCACAAATATGAAAGTATACAATTTTTTTTTGGCATTTTTATGGATGGATATACCACAAAGAAACTCGGGCATAATAAGAAAAAACCAGATAAAAATAAACATATGTTCTTTTATGATTTCCACTCAAACTTTCCTTGTTGTAAACAAAAGTATTTAAATTCCTTTCGATCTCGTAACAATATCAAATACTTAAAATTTTAATGAAGGAAAAGTACTCAGAAAATGAACATTCTTTACATTTTTACTTTTGAATTTGATACTCAAACTTGTAAAGATTATAAATATTTGGGGACAATTGTTTTCTTTCGTTGTTATCAGGATGAAAATGAATGCATTTAGAGTCTGTCTAGCTAAATTTCTAACATTCTGATTGTCAAAAGAGTTTCGCCATTATTACTCTATTATTCTTGTTTGTTATTTTTTTAAGCTATAACAGTTCTCACTTAATTCATCTTGAAGGTTTCAGCTTCGATGTATTGCTATTACCAAATTTTTCTAAAAATCTCTCATTTATTCTTCAATTTTGTCAAATTCAATTTTAGGTAGTTTTGTAAAAAAAAACACGTAAAGAAGCGGTAAGTTGGGGTGTAACCGAACATTTTATACTCTTGCAACTTGCAGGAATCAAAGCAGGGGAAGAATAGGTAGATTTAGGTATTGGCAATATTAAAATACCAATTTAATTTATATTGAGTGCCAAACCATTAATATAATATTATGTTATAACTTAAAAAAAACGTGATCGTTTAATTTTCTTAAAATAGCAGACAAAGTTACGTGGAAAGTCGGAAATCCTTATATAGGGTGTATTGGGGCAGAGAAATGAAAGGGCTGATTGCATAGCTTTTTCACATTATTCAGGTTTACTCGTACTTGAGAACTTAATTTCGAGCAATTTTATAAATATGGTTTTTTATATATAGGTTAAAAAGTTAGAAAAAAAGTAAGGACGAGTTCGCAGATAAGCGAAATGGGACCACTGCCACACCCACAAAAAAAACCATTGTTTAAACCATGGTCCTTACTTTTTTTCTAAGGGTACTAAGTTTCATAACAATATCTACAAATTTTAGTCAAGTAGAGCTTGCATAGACAGACGTACGGACGGAATGACATCCTTGTTTCAACGCGTCTCGTCATACTGATCATTGATATACACATAACCCTATACCTAACTCGATTAATTTAAGGTGACACAAGCAACCTTACGATAAGGTCTGAAAAATTTATTTTGTTTATAATTCGAACGCGTTGCTCTCTTATCCAAATAAATGAAACAAACAAAATATTTCTGAAAAAGGCGTGAGCGTTAAAGAGTTAAAGTGATGTTGAAAATATTTGATTCTAAGCTTTCGTATAGGTCCCTTGAGATGCTATTATTATATTATATTATATGCTAAAGTACAGCTTAAAGATATGTGTTTAAAGATTAAGGTGACCCACATGCAAAAAAGGAGTCGAATAATATTTTACTAACACCAAACACAAGCACTTAAATGCATTCGGCTCGGTCCCAAAATATTTGTACAAGTCTATGTCCACGCAAATGAGTACATTTTCGGTTCGCTGGAATCGTCAATATTAATTTTTAGACATATATAATGTTAAATGGGTAAATATATGGGAATACACATAGTTTTATATACATAAATGTACATACGTACACATCAATTGATGGCTTCTGCCTAAGCAACTTCGTAAATGCTCCCATGCTTTATTTTTTCCTCACTCAATCACTCACGCACGAACTCACGTTTTAACAGTTTTTCTCATCTACTGTGTGTATTTACATTTCAGATTCACAAGAGATCGATAATATGGATTACGTCATGTCGGAACATATTGCTTCGCTGGCGCATACGACAGACGACGGCGCAACGAGTGTAAGCGCGAGTGCCGCACCGAGACTCACAGCATACACAAATAGTAATAAAAATCATAGTAATAATAGCAACAACAACAACATAAATATCAACAGCAACAATAGCAGTAGTAGTAATAATCAAACACAGGACGATTTAAGGTCCTTATCGTTGTTAAGCGTAAGCGACCATAATATGGAAATATCGGCCATGGCACAGGAAATGGCGGTGGATGCGTCCTTGACATCTTCCAGTTCAGCCTCAGCAGCAGCACCATCATCATCAGCATCATCATCATCGTCATTGTTTTCGGAGTCCGCGTCACTAACGGCGGCTGATCGAACAGCCAGCGATGCAAGTGGTGCCGATGAAAGCGCAAATACCATTAACAACAACAATAACATGCAACATCTTGGTACCCAGCGCATTGCATTGAAAACGACGGCGAAAACAAAAACAACGCTAGCCACCGAGCATCAGCAAAATGCGGCCAAGTTACAGGCGATTACAACTGCCGCCACCGGTGGCGCGACCGGGCGTCAGCGTGGCGCAGCGAAAAAGGTGGAGAGCAAATATATTCTGCCTAAACCGCAGAAGACCGATGCGCCAATGCTCAACTACATTTTCGATACATTTTCGACGGCGAACAAGCATCATCATCACGATCAGAGGTAAGTGCCTAAGTGCATATAAGCGCCTGAAAATATGCTTGTGCACGAGTCATTGGCAATGCAATCGCATCTGCATTTGCTCTGATGGGCAGGGGCCGAGCGGTGTTTAATGTGTATGCGGTGCACTTAGCGCAGCAGTTTGTGTTGGACAAAAGTGGTTACTCATGTGGTTGACTGCGGCAACGCCGCTGCGCCATTCCAGCCAACGCTGACGGTCGCGGCGCCTCTGGCACTTTGACTGCGCGCCACATGCACTGCCTCAAGGTGCAATGTAGCAGCTGCCAGGCAGTTGTAATTCAAACTTTGTACTTTTGTAAACCACCATTTGCTTGCATGTATGTGTGTGTGTTCGCAAATGTATTATGTTACAAGTGTATATGGTATACATATATTCAAGAGCACTCTTGCTTAACTGCATTCGCATGAGTACTCACACACACACAACCACACACACACACACTACCATACAGCACATTGATGCTTAAAAATACAGGCAAATGCATATATTCATTCACATTGAAATGTTTCCTGTAAATGGAAATCTGTTTGTATATTTCGATTTGTGTCACGGCTAAATGATGCAGACTAACACACATTCACACACCGGCACTCAAGTTTTGAATGAATGAATGCGTGTAAATTCAGCAGCCCTGTAGGAAATGGGCATCCTACGATGTTTCAAAATTTTTACTTTTTACTTTTCACACATTTGTGTAAAACAAATATATGTTTTCGCCCTTTAGTATCATTTAAATTTATTTTATCATGTGGGCTTTTAATAGTTCTATTTGTTTGATGTTTTCATCCAGTATTTAACATTTTCCTTTGGGTTATTTCTATAATATTTTTTCTATAATCCCTACTTGCAATTCCTGCTTTCCTAATTATGTTCGAAATGGTTCGAGTCCAAGAATTTTTTTTTCAGGCCGTCGTGAAAACATTTCTTCATTTATGTTTGAATAGAATGATTGTAAGCTATGAAAAAACCATTCATTCTGACACAAAACCCCAAAACTATCGGTTCCATATTAACCGGATGGTCGGTCGGAGTCAATGTGCTGACGTGTATACAGAACCGTTTTTCTATTGCCGTAGCGATCATTCGACTAATAATTTCCAAAAATAGTTGACTCCTAGGAGCTATGAAGAACTATTGAGAGATTTAGCTCTTATCGGAAAGATCAAACTTTCAGCATTTCCTCTCATCATATTTTAGGGCTCAATCATTTCGATCATAGCACCAATATATGTGGCAAAATACTTGATTTCAAGGGATTCGTCGGCTAATGAATAGATAACAATAGAAGCAGAGAATATATACGGTTCTTGATAAGACCTCAATAAGTAAGATTTTTACTATTAATTCCATTCGCCATCTAGCAGGAAAAAAATAAGGAATATTTAGCTTCTTATTAGCAACATAAAATTTCGAATTGGAGCAACATCAGTCGAATGAATGGAGTTTAGAAATATTTCGATCTCAGCGACCTCTACTTGGAATTGTGAATACTATGGGTGCGTTCGAGATGGCAATCACGACAGCAGTGTTGCAAATTTGCCAAGTATCATGTTCTGTGTGAATTTTTGGCAACACTTGCAACAGTATCACGTTCTGCTGTCATTTTTTGCACGCAATTTATGCAAATAATCGGCAACACTAAATTTTTGTCTGCACATTAGCAGAGTATCAGCAAATATGCAACACGGTAGCTGTACTGCTGCAATTATTACTTAGCTCGAACGCACCCTACATTAGTACTTAAATATCACTTGCAATCTCACCGGAATTGGCATAATGGTTACGGAATGTATAAAATCTCACCTGGACCATCAGGACCATCTTGGACTACGCGGAATTTTTATGTGACAGTAAAATCGACACATTTCTTCTGAGAAAGTCAATATGAAGCCGTGTTTAAAACAATAGTAAAGAGTAAAAGCATTGGGTCTTTGTTTTCAGACTAGGAGAAAGTTGAAACCCGTTTTGAAAATTTGGCTTCCTCCTTTGAGCTCTCCTAATGTATTTTGTTTACCATTGTCCTTCGCTAACACTCTATTCTTGAGCGTGTTCTTTATAACCTCTATTAAGATGGTATTTCCAGTTGGCGTACTATTAATCGTGCATAAACAGATTTCTATCGATTGTTGGTTTGTGCGCTCGCACTTGTATATATATATTAACATATGTAACTATGTATTTTTACGTGCACTTAAGCAAATCCAATGAGTTACAGCACGCGACCGAAAAGGCGGGGAACGATTTGAACTCGTCAGCTGTGTTGTGGTGTACATATATAATATTGTGCACGTGTACCAACTGTGATGCACATACAAATGAATGTACTTGTATGTATGTATGTGTGTGTGTGTGCGCATTGCAATGCGGTTTGTAATTGAAAATAAATATACAAAAGAAAAGTTGCAAAAGCATCGTTTGAAATTCTTGTTAAATCCAGTCAAGTGAAAATAAAAAAGTTTTTGTTTTAGGGAAATCCTTGCGTTTGTTTGTATGTGTTTTGGAAATATTCAAATTAGATGAGCTTTAATAATGGCAAGAGAAAATTGCATAAAAATGTATGTGTGCATGTTGCTTCTTGTTTAATTTTAGCTAATAAGATTGAGACGGAGTTCTGCAGGAATCAAGGAACTGCTTTAAATACACTCCGGAATTTATTTAGTTATGATCCGCTGTAACTGTATTATGCCAAGAGAAGTTATTTTCCAAGTGGTAGCACAAGGCAAGTAAGCGTAAGTATTTTGAATAAAAACGTCTAACTCTCCCTCCGCTTTTAACAGTTGGACCAGTGTAGCTGAGTCTTGGACCAGAGGCAAGTGCGATTCTCAATGATTCGATAATAAAAGCAAGAACGATAAGAAGAGTTTCCGTCTATATTGAATCATTATCTTTCTATATGTTCAGAAGTTCCCTTGAACTCCGAATATACATGTACTACCTACAGACGTTGGTTAGTTCAAATTATAACACGTAAGACTATCTTTGTTAGCGCCGAAAACCATATATCTTATATTCCTTATGAAAGACTTAACTGCTTGTGCTTCATCTCTTCTTCTCCTCGGAATTTTGTGGTTCGAACATAAAAGTTGGTAAGGTGATTGAAAAAACTTTAGATTACACAAAACTATACAAAATGCTCTGAGGAAATTTAATTATTTTCCCAGTAACCCTAAAATAAAACTGACATTGTTTTTGTAAAACTTAGAAGATGTTTACCCAATTTTACACAAATTTTTGAAGGAACCAACAAGCCAAAAGGCCAACCAGACAATAAAGCAAATACAACACCACACCAACAAAACTTTGACAGTAGCTGTTAAAGAGCCTGGAAGACAGCCAAATAATGAATTATTTATCACCCCTACAAGAAAAAATGCATGAGGGTCATTTTATTTTTCGCTGCGTTGGGTACTTGTATAAATGCCATGAAATTGTGTGCGTAATGTAAATCCGTCACGCAGACAAAACATGCCATCACGGTGAGAGCTGAACTGATTTCGGCCAATTTTTTGGGGTTCGCTGTACCTGGTTGGTTAAAAATAGAAAGAGAGTAGAAAGTTGCTAACTTTATGAAAATTTTAAGTTGAAAAATATATAAGATAAGAAATTGCTAAATTTTTAGTTTCAGTGCGATAATTTTTTTAATTGAAATAGTTTTGAAAGGTTCTAAAGGTTTGGTGAAATCGGAATAGTTGCATATACTTAACATCTTTTCATCATTTTCTGTCTAAGAATAGATTTGTGGTTAGAAACATGAAAAATATTCAGAACTTTAAAATAAATAACATTTCCTTCGTTATATCGAACCTTCAAACAATATGTTGCTTGTCTGTAACTTTTTGTTTTATTAGAAAAACACAACAACCATGCCTCAGTCATCGTGTTAACCAAACTTAGATTCCTTCAACTTTTTTCTTCTGTCAAAACTGAAAACCAATGAATTGGCAATCTTTTTCTAATATTGAGGGATTATAGTATATTATCGGTGGAGTAATGTGGACTAAACGAAGTGCAGAGATGAGTGTAGTTTATGAGATTGGCATTGTTTTGCAAAGAGTATTAACGAACAAATAACTACTTTAAATATAAAAGAAGTTATATTATTTTTACGTTTCTTTTTGAAGCTGGTTCAACACTGCTCTAAAAATTTAGCGCAAAAGTATAATGAATCAGAAGTTATTTAATTCATTTTGTCTAATTTTATACAACGACTGAACCGAAAATAACTAGTAATTCAAAAGTTTCAAATCAACTGTTTAATAATTATAGTACTGTAGCCACTTCTAATATGAGTTTTTATTTTTATAAAATGAACAATGAAGTCTTGTTTTACAATTAATTTTTAAACAGCTAATTTCCCTACAGAACGCATCTCAACAAAAAGAACAAACGCACACACACACACACACATTTGCTATGTATATTTGCATGCATTTAGGTATTCTTTTCTTTACATTTTGTGGCGAATTCTCTTTTACGCTCCACTTTCTGTTTGTGTTTTAAATATGTGGATATATGTATGTAGGTCATTTTGGCAAATAATTTGCAGGGAAATTGTTTGGTTGCGCGCCAAAGTTCGTTAGCCGGCGATTTGCTTGTATGTTTTGCGGTCGTTCATACCTTCCTGTCCTGCCACGCTGTGTTGCGTATGAGTATTTGCCAAAAATACTCAACACCACAGCTACACATGACCGCAGCTCGCGTCTTGAGGATATGAAATTAGGCGGTCGCAAAGCGCAAATGTTTGGCAAGCGAACGTTAGCGGGAGAGAGAGTGAGGAAGCGAGATTAGAGCAAGCAGCAGAATACGCAGAGGCAAGTGCCACAACAAATGTGTTGGCATGTTTTTATGGTGTTTGCCGCTTTGAATATTTACGCTTTTCCAACATTTACTTTTTTCCTGGTTCTCCGCTTTTATTTCAAAGAGATTTACATTTAACGCCAAAAACTGCAATTAGCTAGCTTAAAAGTTGGCACTTGTAATA